TCTCTCTCTCTCTCTCTCTCTCTCTCTCTCTCTCTCTCTCTCTCTCTTTCTCTCTCTCTTTTCATGACAGGCTTTCTCTGTGTAGCTTTGGCTGTTTGGCTGTCCTGGAACTAGCTCTTGTAGACCAGGCTGGCCTTGAACTCACAGAGATCCGCCTGCCTCTGCCTCCCAAGTGCTGGGATTAAAGGTGTGCGCCACCACTGCCCAGCTCTGGAGCTCCTCTTAAATCAAAGCAGTGAACAGGGAATGTTGGGTTCTTACATACCACTAAAGAAACAAGATGCTGGGTGAGTTGGAATGTATAAGTAATTCAGAGAATCAGGAGGTCAAAGTCAGCCAGGGATACAAAAACAGTAAGAAAACCAAACAAACAAACAAAAAAATCCAAACCAAAACAAAAAACCCATCTGGGGTAGATGGCACTTGCCAATAATCCCAGCACGTAAGGGAGACAAAGCCAGGACAAGTCAGGATGGCGTGTACTTCTGGGGCCAGGCTGGTTGGTCTCCATTGCAAATTCTAGGCTAACTGGGTCTACACAGGAGAACATATCTCAAAGTAAGAAGACATGAAAGGATTCTAGGGGCTGTGGGGATGACTCGGTGCTAATGGCACTTGCTCTACCAACATAAGAATCTAAGTCCGAAACCTCCCACCCATGTAAAAGGCCAGGCACATCTGTGTGCGCCTGCAATCCCCAAGCTTTGGGAAGCAAAGACATTAGCTCACTAATCAGCCAGGAAGCCTAGTCACAATGGTGAACTTCCAGTTCAGTGAGGAGCCCACTCTCCAGACAATGAGGTAGAGAGGAAGACATTGGATGGGGATGGCCTGACATAGCTTCAACCTCTCTCTCTCTCTCTCTCTCTCTCTCTCTCTCTCTCTCTCTCTCTCTCTCACACACACACACACACACAGACACACACACACTCTCTCTCTCTCTCTCTCACACACACACACACACACACACACACACACGCACACACACCCCTGAAGAAGGATTCTATAACTAAAAAAAGTCTCTTTTCCTTTGGTACGGCCCCTGAGTGTCCCAACTCCTCTGCCATCCCCTGCCATTTGTCCCTTTCCAGACTCTGGTAGCACCAATATGGCCTTTGCCATCCCCGGAAACCTTTGAGATAAGATTTCACGTACTCTAGGCTGCTTTAAATTCACCATGTAGCAAAGGCTGCCCTTGAAGTTTTGATCCTCCTGCCTCAGCCTGTAGAGTACTGGAATTACAGACAAGGATTATTATACCTGGCTTCAGTGGCTTTAAATTCTTCCAAATTCCAGACTTGTACACATGAGCAGAGTTAGTATAAAAGACCTATGGCTGCTATTCACAGGAAGGCCGGCTGCCAAGCTGGGTGCTCACCAGTATCTGGGAACTTGAACTTCAGCAGAGTCCTCCAAACTTGGAGGAGTGGCTTGCTGTACTGAAGCTGTAATCTGATTTACGCTGAGCCCTAATTTCTCTTCTGGAAGCCTGCTATAGTTGTTGGAGGAATCACGCAGTAGATACCATCATGCCCAGTTTCCTTCACTCTGCCCCAGGCCACGCCCCTTCCTTCCTTTGCTTCATAAACCCAGCCACAGGTATGGTCACGTGCTGAGGCCCAGGCCTCTTGGTTGTTAATCAGCAGATACAATGTCCAGCTGCATGTCTGACACAACCACATGGGTGACCGAAAGCACCTACCTCACAGGCAGTCCAGGGCCTGACCTCAGACCTGCTCCGCTCAGAGCCTTCTTTATCTCTGTACCCTTCTGGAGGATTAAAACAAGCTAGCAGGTTTTTTTTTTTTCAAGGCCAGTTGTCCTTTACTTGGGGGGGGGGCTTAGGGGGATTGTGGGGGTCACCGGGGTCCTGCCTGAGGCTGCCACATGCTGGGGTGACAAGTATGTCCTGCCACATCCAGGTTCCAGTGACTTTCCCCCTCCTTGCTTTAAGACAGGGCCTCAGGTAGCTCAGACTGGCCTTGAACGCTTCTGCTTCCACCTCCCAAGTGCCGGCTACTGCTGAATGTACGTGATGTGCATGATGTGCTTAAGTCAGGGTGTGAGCACAGCACGGCTTGCATGTGGCATCCAGAGGACATCTCAGGAGTCAGGACTCTTTCCACCTTACTTCTCAGGTAGGGTCTCTCTTGTTCCCGCCATGTGTACTCCAGGCCAATAATTCTCTTGTCTTTCATCTTGGCAACAGAATACTGGGACTACAGACACACACTACACACCTGGCCTTTCTGCGTGGGTTCCAGGGAGTGACCAGGTCTTAAAGCTTGGCACAAAGTTCAGGCCAGCATGAACTACAAAGCAAGACTGTCTACAAAACCAAATACCTCAAAAACACTCCAGAGAAAAGACTCTTCTGGGCCTGGTGGGGCGGGAAGATGTGAAGTTTGACACCTGCCTAGACCAATGAGTGTGTTCATGGCCAGCCTGGGTAACTTAATGAGAGCCTGCCTCAAAAATCAAGAGAATTTAGTAAGCTGTTACTGTACATCTGTTCAAAAAGCCCATGGTTAGGAAGGTCCTGGGAGGAACCTGTTGTTTTGTTACATTGATATGGTATCAAACTGCCTTCTAAATACTTACATTTATACCCACAAAATGAGTTAGAAAAGTTTTACAGTGGATATCCATTAAAGTGGAAACTAATCAAAGTGTGGAGACTAAGTGCCTGTTATCTGCTCAGCCCTAAATGAGACCTTTTCTTCCGGTTTTTCAGGGCTTCTCAGTGTAGCTTTGGAGCCTGTCCTGGAACTTGCTCTGTAGACCAGGCTGGCCTTGAACTCACAGAGATCCACCTGCCTCTGCCAGTCACCAAAGCTACAGAGAAACCTTAAGGGTGGGGAGAGAAAAATCAAAAACAAAACAAACAAAAAAAAGAATAAAGATTTACCACTTGGCTCTAGAACCTGGGAAGTTCAAGGTCAACAGCATCTATTTCCCCCCTCTCCCTCACCTTTCCCTCCCTCATACTTCAGAGGTGGACACCTGGGGGAAGGCCTTCTTGCTGCACCACAGGGTAGACAGAGGCCAGAGAGGGCAGAAAGTGTAAGCAGGCCAGCTAGAGCTTGTTATCATACCAAAGCCATGTACTCCCTGATGACCCACTAGGCCATGAACAGACTTGCCCAAGAACTTCCATGACCCTGCTCTTCCTAATGGCACTGCACCAAATTCCCAACACACGAAACTTAGAGGACACATTCTAGCCAAACTAGGGGTCCTTGTCCGCACGGGTCTAGTACACTTTTGCATAGATAAGTATACTAGGTGACCTCACCTTCAAGTCTAAACTCAAAACCCCTCAGTCGGGCCTACCCATTCCAAAGCTATTGACTTCTGGCCAACCAATCCCTTTGAACACCTACCCCACCCCCAGAGTTTATCACACGGAATTTACTGGTTGTTACTCATCTGCCTGTGCTTACATTCCCAACAGTAGAATTCCTCTTCATCCCGATTTTATTTTCCTTCACTTAATCTCAAGTGCACAGAATAGTGTCTAGTAGTTAAAAACTTGTGGAATCTGGGAACGGTGGTGTGAACCTGTATTTCAAGCATCTGGGAAGGAGGCGAGAGGTTGGGGGTTTCAAGGACATCTCCACTACAACGTAGACAAGTCTTCAAAATAAAAAAGGATAACAGTACGACCAGAGGACTGCGGCATTAGAACGAGCTCAGAAAAGAACAGAGTGTATCTGAACTGACACTAGCTCTCCAAAAGTTTTAGATACCTAAAGTGGCCCTGGCTGCATGAGTTCTCCAGAAAAAGTTTTAGTAGGAAAGTGACCTGGCAGGAGTCCGTCTTACAGGGTCTCCTTGGTGGCGGTCTGCACTAGAGATGACTCGGGGAGAAAGGTCTGTTTCGGATTCGATTTTTACGAAGCTATAGAATATGCTAACAAAGGCTAAGACTGCTGGGAGCGTAGTGTTCAGGATGCAAAGGCAACGCTGCCCTTGAGTGCACGATGCTGAGAACGGATCCGTGTTCCCCAGCTTGTCACCGCTCGGTGTGACCGGGAGCCTGGCCTCCAGGCGGGAAGGTCTACTGCAGTTACGAAAACCTTCCCTTCTGGGGACATCGGAGGCTGACTTCTTGACGAGGACGGGTTCCCCTGGAACCCTCCTATTCCGCACCTCCCCAGATTCCCCCAAGGTCAAAGGAAACTGGACACCCACGCCGCCGGCCCCGGGTCAGTGTCTGCAGCCAGTTGCGGCCAAGCGCCGGGACGCACAGCCTGGGTCAGCTCAATTCCTAAGATCCCGGGTTTCGGGAGGCTTCCCAAGGCAAGCCCGACCCTACGGAACCGGACGTGCACGCAGATTTGACCGCAGCGCTGCAGGGCAGAGGCGGGTCGCCGGCGAATGACCCGCCGAGGGGCTGGGCTGGCGAGCCAGTAGGGGCGCACTCACCTGCGAAGTCCGCTGGTCCCTCCCCGGACCGCGCCGACCGCAGGCCTGGGGGCCACCTCTGTTCCTGCCCCGCCTCTTCCGCCCAAGCCCACGCCGGAAGAGTGGACCCCGACTCGCGTGTGAGCTTAGTGGCGCGGTCACAGCGACCCCTGCTGGACGCGGCGCCTTGGATGACCGCGCTGTGGAACTGTGCGTAGGTGTGGGATTGGGGAGTGAGGAGTGGGGGCGTGAGAGGCTCCATCGCAGGTCGGCTGAGCTCGGCAGCCAATTCCAGAAGAACTTGGTTTGAAAGTCGAAGTTCTTTCTCTGGAGTAGTTTCTCTTGGACGTTTTTGTAAATTACAGATGTTGTCTCCAAAAAATTGTACACAACATTCCAGAATTTAGAGTGTTGGCGTTTAGAACATCTTTTCCAATCCCAACTCAGGGTGCGGGTGTACCCCTGTAATTCTAGCACTCAGAGATGGAGGTAGGAAGGGCAGGGGCTCAAGGTTTTTCCTGGGTACAAGACTAGAAAGTTTGAGGCCGGGCTGAGCTACGAAGAAATAAATATAAATAGGAACACAACACCTGATGCTCCGGTCAGCCCGTCCTGAGGAAGTGGAGGCAGGAAGAAGACGCTGCTGGGCCTGCCGTGGCTACAGGGCAACTTGGAGGCCAATCTGGGTTACCTGAAACACTGTCTCAGCCAATTTCTCCTCTGATTACAAAGTGGTTTATAGTTGTGTTTGTGCAAGAGGAAATAGCAGTCATAAATTGTTCCAAGTACTGTAATGATACATTTTACACTGTTGGCATTGCGAGGGATACACAGTTGCATTTACTTGTTGGACCTCAGGATTGAACTCAGGTGTTTAAGTTTGTGAACAGAGGCCTTTACCCTCTGAGCCAGTTCACCAACCCTTGGGTGAAATGTAAAAGGGGTGTGTGTGTGTGTGTGTGTGTGTGTGTGTGTCCGAGGACAACTTGCAGGAGTCATTTTCTCCACCTTGTGGGTCCCAGAGGGCAAACCTGTGTTGCCAGGCTTTCTAGCAAACACCTTTACACACTGAACCACCTCACCAAGGTGAAATCTTTTTTAAAATGGTGTATAGAGGGCCTGGAGAGATGATTTAGCAGTTAGAAGCACTGGACTGCTGTTCCAGAGCATGTGGATTTGATTCCCAGCACCACATGGGGGCTCACAAACATCTGTAGCTCCAGTTCCAGGAGATCAATCCCCCTTCTGGCTTTTGAGGGCACCAGGCATAAGGGGCTCACAGGCAAAATACCCATACACAAAATGTGAGTTGTTTGAATATATTTTTATCTTCTTTATTATTTTTTGCTGTTATTGTTTTGTTTTGTTTCAAGACAGAGCTTCTCTGTCCTGGGTATCCTGGAACTCGCCCTGTAAACTCAGAGCTCCGCCTGCCTCTGTCTTCCTAGTGCTGGAGTTAAAGGTGTGTGCCATCATCACCCGGCTTCTTTACTAATTCCTTAGGGATTGCCAAAACATTTGATCATAACAAGTAGGTATTATGCAGAAAGAAAAAAAAAAAAACAGTAAATTTCAACCAGGCGGTGGTGACTAATGCAGAGACAGATGGACCTTTGTGAGTTCAAGGCCAGCTTGGTCTTTAGAGCGAGTTCCAGGATAGGCTCCAAAGCTAAAAAGAAAGCCTGTCTCGAAAAACAAAACAAACAAACAAAAAGTCAGGAAAGCTGCCGTTGGTAGTTCTCTGCACACCCTGCTTTTAGCTGAAGGTCAGTCTGTTTCAACATCTGGACTTGATCAAGGATCCCAACACTTTTACCATTCCCATGGGGCTGAAATGTTGGGGTCCTTGATGTGGCCATGCTCACATCAACAATACACATTCACTGACTACTTCGTCTGCTTCCCGTAGGGTGTTGTGTACACCTATAACCTGCAAACCCACAATTTGGGAAGTAGAAGCAGGAGGGTTGGAGGTTCAAGGTCATACTAGTAAACAGAGTTCCAGGCAGTCAGGCTATGCGAGACTCTCTTCTACAAATGACTAAACAGGACTGGAGGTATGCTTCAGCAGTGAAGACTACACACTACTCTTACAGAGGGCGGGAGTTTGGCTCCCATCGTGCATGTAGGGCAGCTCACAACTGTAAGTCCAGCTCCAAGGGATACAACTGGCCTCTGAGGGCCCTGCACTCATAGGCACACACACACATACACATGCACATGCACGCATGCGCGCGCGCACACACACACACACACACACACACACA